GGTTTCTCTGTAGCTTTGGAGCCTGTCCTGGACTAGCTCTGTAGACCAGGCTGGCCTTGAACTCACAGAGATCTACTTGCCTCTGCCTCCCGAGTGCTGGGATTACAGGCGTGCGCCACCGCCACCATCACCCAGCTCATGGCAACTCTTATAAAGGAAAACATTTCATTGGGGCTGGCTTACAGTTCAGGAGTTTAGTTTATTATCATGGTGGGAAGCGTGGTGGCATGCAGGCAGACATGGTACTGGAGAGGTAGCTGAGAGTTCTACATCTTGATCTGCAGGCAACAGGAAGTGAACTGTGTCTTACACTGGGTGTAGCTTGAGCATATGAGACCTCAAAGTCCACCCCCCACAGTGACACACTTCCAACAAGGCCACACCTCCTAATAGTGCCAACTCTCTATAGGCCAAACATTCAAACACACGAGTCTGTGGGGGGCATACCTATTTAAACCACCACACAGAAGTTCCCATTGACCTACAGTTGCCAAGTGGGTGAGGCTGGCTTCTTTTACTCTGAGGATCCTGGGGATTAAACTCAGGTTGTTGGACTTGGCAGCAAGCATCTTTAGAAGCTGAGATATCTCACTGTCCCTCGGTTTGTATTTTGAGACAGTTTCATGTGTTTCTGGGTAGCCTTTGTGTATCTGTGAGGATGACCTTTCTCCGCATCCTTAATACTGGGATTATATGAGTGAGATACCATTTCCTGATTTTGTAGGACTACATGAGGTGTACCGTGGTCTGACAGTATTATATGACTTATCTATTTCCATATGTATCTTGTAAATTAGATTTTAGCTGACAGTCTTCATTAAATTTAATTTAGAATTGGGATTTGGGTGGTTTTGGCTGGATTCTTCTAATTCTGATTTAATGGTCACCTGTTTTTGTTCTGTTTTCTTTTGTTTTAGACAGGGTCTTGCTATATAATCCTGGCTGGTCTGGCCTGGGACTTCTGGCAGTCCATCTGCCTCTGACTCCTAAATTCTATTATATGTATCAGCCAACAGACCCATCTGTCTGTCTGTCTGTCTGTCTGTCTATCTATCTACCTACCTACCTACCTACCTACCTACCTACAGCCAACAGACCCATCTATCTATCTATCTATCTATCTATCTATCTATCTATCTATCTATGTATCTATGTATCTATGTATCTATGTATCTATGTATCTATCTATATCTACCTACCTACCTACCTACCTACCTACCTACCTACCTACCTATCTTTGAGACAGTGTCTTACTCTATAACTCAGTCCTGCCTGGAATCACTCTGTAGCCCAGGTGGCGTCCAATTTAAAGTAGTCCGCTTGTCTCCTCCTTAGTGTTGGGATTACAAGTGTGAGCCACCGTGTCTTACTGGGTGGTTCATCTGTTGATGGTGTATTTTGATTGCCTTCCTCTGCTTATTTGCTAGGGGATCTCCAACCCCACCACATGAGGACTTAAACCTAGGGTCTCATGCAGGTAAATGGTGTTTAGCTACAGAGCTGTTATCTCTAGTCCTAGCTGGGATTCTTTAATGAACAACTTTTAAGCTGAGACCATGGTGGTATACACCTTTAATCAGTGTAATTGGAGATTGAGGCAGGAGGATTGCTGCAAGTTTGGGCCAAATAATGAGAACCTTGTTTAAAAAAGTAAGCAAATAAAACCACATCCCCTCCCCAAGGGGGGGGGGGGGAACCACATTGCTTATCCTGAAACATAATTAGTCCTAAGGGAAAAAAAGTGGTTTAGGGATTGGCATCCCAGTTATTTCTATAAATAACCCTAAGAATTTTGAGGGACTGGAGAGATGGTTTAGCAGTTAAGAGAGCACTTGCTGCTCTTCCAGAGGACCTGAGATTGGTTGCCAATATCCATGGTTGGCTCACAACCACCTGCAACGCCAGCCTCAGGATCTGATGCCATCTTCTGGCCTTTGAGGTTAAGCACACACACACACATACACACACACACACACACACACACACACACACACACACACACACATATTTGAGAAAAATAATTATTTTGTATTACTGAAAGATTTGCACATCCATAATTGTAAAATTTCTTAGACACCTTTAGGTAGAAAGGTTGGTCTAGAAAATAGTCTGTCACTGTCACTACCTAAGGCAGAGTCCTGTCTCAACTGCTCACTACTGTGTTTCATTTCAGAAATACATGTCTTCTTTTGAATTTAAATGATAGTGTTAATTTACCTTTCTAATTATTTTTTGGTAGTTTTAATCTTTTTTAGTTCATATCATCATTGTCACTTTTTAAAAAAGTTATTATGTTTATTCACTTAGTTATTTAGTGATGTTTTTAGAAAGATGTCAGGCTTCTTTAGATACCCTGTAGCATATGCACTCTACCTTACTGCTATGAAATACTCACCTATTTTCTTCTAACATTTACATATCTAATTTGTATAAAGTAAGTGTTGTATTAATGCTTTGTTTCAAATAAAATGATTCCTTATGTAATGGAATGAATGAGCATGTCTTTGGTTCCTCTTGATGAACCAAGGGCTTTTGAGATGACTCGGTGGGTAAGGGTGCTTGCCACCGAGCCTAAGAACCTGAGTTCCACGTTCAGGATCCACATGGTGGAAGGAGAGAATGACTTTCTCAGGTTGTCCTCTGACCCCCTTACATGTGCCATGTCCCCCATAAATGAATGAATAAATAAATGTAAAAAGGTTAATCCTTTCAAAATGTCTCACCTAGTCACTAGTGGGTTTTCTCATAAGATCTTTTGATTTGTTCTTTAACAGTTTTATTTGTGTACACAAAATGTATTCTGATCATACTAAACCTAAATCTTCCTTCCCTCTACCGCATACCTCCCCAAGGGCCCACTCCCATGCTTGAGTATACCTTACTGAATCCAGTCATGCTGCTTACATGCTTGAGTGTGGGGCCATCCATCAGAGCATGGGTAACCTACCAGCAGTCACAGCTCAAAGAAAAGTGACACCTCCTTTCCAGTTGTTACCAATTGCCAATAGCTCCTTAGTTAGGGATGGAACCTCTTCAGCTCCTCTTTTATCCACACTGGAATGTTCACCGGCTTGATTTTGTCTTAGGCAGGTAAAGTTAGCTGCTGTGTGCAATGCCTATGTCTTGCTTAGTAAATAGCATTTCACGGCACTCTTCCTCTTCCTCTTCCAGTTCTACATTTTGCTGCCTCCTCCAATATGTTTCCTCAAGAGGGTGTGGAGTCTTGATATAAATGTCCCATTTAGGACTGAGCATAGTCACTTTTCCCAGCATTTTGGCCAGTTATGAGTCTGCATTGACTGCTGCCTACTGCAAAAGCAAGCTTCCCTGACCATGAGTATAAACATAGTATTTAGAAGGCCACTTGACAACATATCCATTTACTACAACAAGTTAGCTCCCGCTAAATCATGGGCTTTTAACCAGGTTTATAGTCCCAGGCATGAATTCCCTCCTGTGGAGAGGGCTTCAGGTCCAGTCAGAAGCAGCGAAGCCACTATTGTATCAGAAGGCATGTATTGTCTAGCAGGTCAGTATTGGTGCATGTGGGGTCAACTTCTGGGTGAGTCCATTGTGACTTTTCCTATCCCACGGGCACTGTGAAAGCTAGCCATCAGAAAGGAAGTTTCCTGGTCACTTCCTATTTGATCTCTGTCCTGCAAACAAAGCATGTTGCATCTTCAGTAATAGGGTCTTAACATCCAGTTATGGTGAGCAAATAAGCAATACCAATAGCCTGTGTTGTTTTTGGAAGGCGTTGGGCCTTCCCTGATTAATAGCTTGTAGGAGGGTAACCTGTGCCTAGCATTTTTAATAACCCATGTCTTCTAAGAGGAAGCATTGACCACCTATTCAGGGTACCTCTGTTCAAGTGCCTTTAAAATTCTTAAAAGTTACATATTACACACACACACACACACACACACACACACACTCATTTTTTGATAATTTAGATAGGATATTTTGATGACATCCACTTTTTTCCCCTACTCACCTACCTTTGTGTCCTTTTTTTTTTTAACCCATCAAGTCCACTTTTGCTCCCCGTAAACTCTTGGGTTGAGGCTATCTGCTGGAGCACAGGAGCTGTAACTTTAAATCTGAGTCTCCCTCTCCTAGCAGCTGTCAATCATTATTATCACTTCAGCTGGGGGAGGACTTAATGCCCAGCTTCCCTCCGTGCTGGGTTTGGTCTGGCTTGGCTTGTGCCGGCCTGCGCATTCTTTCATAGCTGCTGTGAGTTCATGTGTGCGGCTGCTTTGTTGTATCCGCAAGTTACTCTTTCCCTGTAGTCACTCCACCCCTTTCCACAACGATCCCCAAGCCTTGGGAAGACTAGGTGTGGGGTAGATGTACCATTTCGGGCTGAGCATCCCATGGTCTCGTATCCTCTGTATCTTGATTACTTGTGGGTTTGTGTTAATCATTGTTTATTACAAGCAGCAGCATCTCTGATGAGGGTTGCGAGAGAAACCAATCTATGGGTGTAGTGAAAGGTCATTAAAAGATTTTTTTGTTTTGTTTTGTCTTTTGTTTTTTCGAGACAGGGTTTCTCTGTGTAACTTTGCGCCTTTGTAGACCAGGCTGGCCTCGAACTCACAGAGATCCGCCTGGCTCTGCCTCCCGAGTGCTGGGATTAAAGGCGTGCGCCACCACCGCCCGGCAAGGTAGCACACACCTTTAATCCTAGCACTGAGAGCCAGAGAAAGGCAGATCTCAGTGAGTTCGAAGCCAGCCTGGTCTAGAAAGCACGTTTCAGGACAGCCAGGACTGTTACACAGAGAAACCCTGTCTCAAAAAACCAAAAAAAAGGCAAATTTTTTGGCTTATAGTGATTAATTTTGCAAAGTCAAAATTTAAAAATGCTTAATTCTTTATTTCCTAGACAAGTAAGTGTAGTAGCTGTTTCAAAATTGTAATATCAGCATGTTCATATTCTTGCAAACGTGAGTAATGAATTTATTTCCTTTAAGTAATATATATTTTTTTAATTTTGATAGACAATTGGCATTTCATCTGAAGAAAAGTTTGTTATTACAACTACAAGCAGGAAAGAAATTACCTGTGATAATTTTGGTAAGTAAGCAATGTCCTCTTGCATTTATTTACTGTGTCGGTTAGAGCAATAGCTGTACATCCCTGTCTGTCCATAGCATTGATAATCTGGAGTACTTCTGTATTCGCAGAGGCCACATTTTTCCTGCTGTCAGTTGGGGCCATAGAAAATGAGGCCTTACTACTTAGCTTTATTTGGGCACCCACAAAACTGAGCTATTAGCAAACTTGAATTCTTCAATTTTTTTTAACCTTTTTTTTTTTTTTTTTTTTTAAGTTTCCATAACCTGCCAGATTTTATGCTCTTTCCCCTCTATGGAAGGATTTCCATATGTAACCCAGAGAGCCCTGGACCTGGAGTACTCTTTGAGTACTAGCCTTAGAGGTGTGCTCCACCATGCTTAGGTTGATTGCTATTCTTTTTGGAAAGGTGTACTCTTATTATTTTTAAATTTTGCGTCAGTATTTCTGTCTGTGTATGGATATATGCATGTGAATACAGTTATCTACAGAGTCTAGAAGAGGGTATTAGGTTTGTTGCAGCTGGAGTTGCAGGTGGTTGTGAGTCTCCCAACATGGGTACTAAGAACTCATCTTAGGTCCTCTGGAAGAGCAGCAAGTGCTCTTTAATTGCTGAGCCATCTCTCCCGTCCTGTTTTCTCTCTCCTGAAATGAAACAATGAAGAAGTCTCCATTCCTGTTGATATCACTCTAATGCAAATCTTCATCTGATGGTCATGTGATAATTTAACTTACTAGGAATTGAGTGTTGGGACTGACGAGATGACTCAGTGGTTAAGAGCACTTGTTCTTTCGGAGGACACAGGTTCAGTTCTTGGCACTCACGTGGTAGTTCACAACCATCCCTTACTCTACTTCTAGGGGTTTTATACCTTCTGATTTCCATATACACAAGCATGCATGCAGGCAAAAACTCATGCACATAAAGTAAATCCTTTTTTTTTTTTAAAAATTGTGTTTTTGAGATAGGGTTTCTCTCTGTATAGCCCTAGCTCTCCTGGAACTCACTTAGTAGACCAGACCACAAACTTGCTTAGATCCACCTGCCTCTGCCTCTGCTTCCCTTTACCCTGAGTGCTGGGATTAAAGGTTTGTCCCACCACACCTTTCTGAAAGAAAGAAAAAAAAGAAAGGAAAGGAAAGAATTGTGTGTTTAAAACCTGGGTGTGCAGACAGTAGTGGCACATGCCTTTAATCCCTGCCCTTGCGAGGCAGAGGCAGGCAGATAACTATGAGTTCGAGGACAGCCTGGTCTACAGAGCTAGTTCCAGGACAGCCAGGTGTATACAAGGAAACCCTGTCTCGAAAACAAAAAGAAACAAAACACCCTGGATATGTGGTACATGCTTATAATCTGAGCAATTGGGATGTGGAGGCAGAAAAATAAGGAATTCAAGGCCAGTTTGGGCTATATGAAACTCCCTATCTCAAAAAATACTGAGTTTTCCAACTTTTCATCATGTGAGGACACAGAAGATTCCATTTATGAGAAAACAGGCCTTCACTAGGCACCAGTCTTGGACTTTCCAAAATTTAACAAATTATGAGATGTAAACTTGTGTTACTGTATTTTTAAATGTTTTCTTAGTTCTTTATTTGTATATGTTTGTATTAGTGCAGAGGTCAGAGGATAACTTTGGGAATAGGTTTTCTCTTTCTACAGTGTAGGTCCCAGGGACTGAACTCAGGTTGTCAGATTTGGCTAGCTGGTACTTTACCATTGAGCAATCTAGCTGGCCCAACCTGTAATGGTTTTTTAAAAAATAAAAAATAAAAAATAAATGTGTTTTACCTGCCATGGTAGCTTACACCTATAATCCCAGCACTCAGGAAGCTAAGGCAGGACAATTGCCCAGAGTTGGAAGCCAGACTGGGCTATAGTGAGTCTGAGGCAACTTAGGCTGTAGTGAGATCCTCTTTCAACAAACAGACCATGTTGGGCATGCTGATGTCCACTTGTAACACCTGCACTTGGGTGACCGAAGCGGGAGACTCCCCCAGTTCAAGGCCTATCTGCATAGTGAATTCCAGGCCAGCCCGGGCTACTCAGTCTCCAGTGAAGAATAAACATTTCAAAGCTCCACACATTGGTACACTTGTCATCATAGCATTTAGGAGGCTGAGGCAGGAAGGTAAGTTTGAGGCCAGCTGGAGATATATTATGAGACCCTGGTTTTTTAAAAAACAAAACAAAAACAAAAAAAACCCCAAGGGCCACCATGATGGATCCGTGGGTAAAAACACTTGCCTGGAAAGCCTGATGACTTGAGGTTGACCTCTAATCCCACAGTGGAAGAAGAGGACTTCAGAAAGATGTCCTCAGACTTCTACATGTGTACTGTGACATGCACTTGCTCACATGTGTGCTGGCATGTACACACAAACACACTTAGTAACAATAAATGAAATAAATTTAAATATTTGAGTATTTTAGAGTTGTAGAAATATTTATGCTGTTCCATTAATGCTCTTTATATTCGCAACTGGAATTTGTAAATAGAGCCATTGACAGTTTACCTATACTGTTAAGTGCATTTTATAGATACAGGTTATATATTCAGAATAAGTTCACTGAGTTTCTGATGGTACCCTAGCACTTATGATTTCAACTCTCAATTACAGATGAAATTGTTAAAGATGGAGTCACTCTGTACCTGCTACAATCAGTTGACCAATCACTATTAACAGCGACAAAGGAAAGAATTGACTTCTTACCTCACTATGACACTCTGGTTAAAAGTGGCATGTATGAATATTATGCAAGTGAAGGACAGAATCCTTTGCGTAAGTAATCTGTTTGTACAATTTTTGATTTTTTTTAAATTTATTTATTTTTACTTTATGTACATTGGTATTTTGGCATGGGTGTTGGATCCTCTAGAACTGGAGTTTCAGACAGTTGTGAGCTGCCCTGTGGATGCTGGTAATTGAACCCAGGTCCTCTGGAAGAGCAGTCAGTGCTCTTAACCACTGAGCCATTTCTCCAGCCCCTGTATAATTTTGGCAAGTTGTTAATCTCTTTTATCCTTTCACCACATATGCCATTCCTTCACATTTTGTAGATCTTTTCATTTTACTTTATTATAAGGCCATGGGAAACATTTTGATCTGCTTTCTTAGTTTCTTTGTATATATCCAACTGAAATTGGAATTTTTGTTTGTTTTTAAAAATTTTAAGTTTATTCATATATATGTGTATTTGTTTGTATGCCACATGAGTGTGGTTTCCCAGGGAGTGCTGGAAACCAAAATAGGGCTCTCCTCAAAAGCAGCAGCTACTCTTAACTGCTGAGCTGTCTCTCTAGCCCAGTCCTGCCTCTATGTGTGTGTGTGTGTGTATATGTATGTATGTATATGTGTGTGTGCCACAGCCAGCATACATGTGAAAGTCAGAAGACATCTCCTCGCCTTCTACTGTGTTTGCGGCCTGGTGTCTTCGTTCACTGCTGTGGCTGCCAGGTTAACTGGACTAAGCTTCCAAAGAGTCTCTTGTCTGTGCCCGGAAGTCAACTTTAAAGTAAAAAAGTCACCTTTAACCCAGTAATAGAGCTGGATGCGCTTTACCTTGTAGTTAGACATCTTCCTGTCTTGCTGTAAACCACTTCTAGTTATGAAAAGACCCTTTACCTTCCATTTATTTTTATTTATTTACTCCGGATTAAACCCAGAGCCTTGCACATACAAGGTAAGCATTCTACTGCTGAGTTCCATCAGTCTCTACTCTGTAAATTTACATAGATAAATTGATGTGCCTATTGCCATGTCTTTAATACTTTTTTAAAAACCTTCATAGCTTGGTTTATCCTTATAGACTGTTTCAGATGGTTTACCAGATCTTTCTAGATGCTGTCAAAGTACTTTATGCTATTAACGTGTTTATTATAAACCATATTCTTTCATTTCTCTCTCTCTCTCTCTCTCTCTCTCTCTCTCTCTCTCTCTCTCTCTCTCTCATTGGAGTTTTGCCTGCATGTATGTCTGTGTGAGGATGCCAGATCCCCTGGAACTGGAGTTACAGACAGTTGTGTATAGTTGGAAGGTGTCTCTGGTCCGGCCCCACAGTCCCACAGCCACTTATAAAATAATTACTCAGAGGCTTATATTAATTACCAATTGCATGGCATATTGCGGGCTTCTTGCTAGCTGGCTCTTATAACTTAAATTAACCCATTGCTATTAATCTGTGTTTTGCCATGTGTTCCGTGGCTTACTGGTTTGCTGGCATGTTGTTCCTTGGGTGGCAGGCTGGCATCTCTCCTGCCTCTCCTTTCTCTTCCTGTTTATCTGCTTGGATTTCCACCTACTTGTAAGCTGCCTTGCCATACGCCAATGCAGCTTTATTTATCAACCAATCAGAGCAACACATATTCACAGCCTATGGAAAGATATCCCACAGCAGTTTTGAGCTGCCATGTGGGTGCTGGGAATTGAACCCAGGTCCTTTGGAAGAACAGCCAGTGCTCTTAACCAGTGAGCCATCTCTCCAGCCCCCAAATCCTTTTTTTTTTTTTTTATAAATGTGTTTTACTGTTAGAAATTGGAAAAACAGATGAGTAGAATGTGAAAATAATCATATTGCTACTACCTGAATGTAATAATCACCAATACTTTGGTGTTTATCATTTCAGAACTTTTTCTATTAGTTGATTTTTTTAAACATTGTTTTATATATGTTAAGTGTAGAAGTGGTATAGATAGACTTTCTATTAGTTTATTTTTTAAAATGTACTTTATGTATGTTAAGTACAGAAGTGGTATAAATAGACAAGTCAAAAGTTCTTTCCTAGCTAATCTCCCTCTTTGGCTTGCTGTTTTAGGCAGTAGCTCTCCTGTTTTTGTCTACCATTCACCTTAGTCCCTCCTCTCCACTGATGAGCCTGTCTCTGCTTTCTTCACCTCCTTCATTTATCTCCAAATGTCTGTGGAAGTTACCATTGACCAGAAAGGTTGGAGTGGAAATGAACTTTTTTAAAAAGTAGTTTTATTTACTTATTTGTCTGTTTACTTATATTTTATGTATATGAGTATTTGCTTGATATCTGTCTGTGCACCATGTGCATGCAGTATCCACAGATGCCAGAAGGGAGTGTTAGAGCTCCTGTGACTGGTGTACAGATGGTTGTGAGCTTGTGTGTGTGTTCTGGGAATTGAACCTCTGGAGGAGCAACCAGTGCCTTTGACTGCTGTTACATCTCTCTACCCTCCACCCCTAACCCTGGAAATAAGCTTTGAAAATTTTGTTTGTTATTGTTTTTGTTTTTTGATACAGGGTTTCTCTGTGTAACAAACAGCCTTGGCTATCCTGGAACTCGCTTTGTAGACTGTGCCCTGGGTGCTGGGATTAAAGGCATACACCACACACCCAGCTTAAATTTTTTAAAAAAGATTTTATTTTAAATGATGTGTATACCTGTGCCTTTGTTATTTGATCTCTTTGCTCATTTTACTCTATAGCACATACTACTTTGTAATATATAGAATTTACTTAGTTACTGTCTTTTTTTTTGGTTTTTCGAGACAGGGTTTCTCTGTGTAGCTTTGTGCCTTTCCTGGAACTCACTTGGTAGCCCAGGCTGGCCTCGAACTCACAGAGATCCACCTGCCTCTGCCTCCCGAGTGCTGGGATTAAAGGCGTGCGCCACCACTGCCCGTCTTAGTTACTGTCGTAGTGACTTTTCTGTTGCTGTGAAGAGACACTATGGCCACTTATAAACTTATAAAAAGAAAGCATTTAAGTTGGGGCTAATGGTTCCAGAGGGTATAGAGTTGGTGGTCATCATGGCAGGGAGATGGCAACAGGCTGGCATGGTGCTGAAGCAGTAGCTGAGAGATTATATCCAGTCTACAAGTTGGAGGTGGAAAGAGCTAAATGGAATGGTATAGGCCTCTGAAACCTCAAAACCCACTCCTAATGACACACCTCCTCCAACAGAGTCACACCACCTAGTCTTTTTTCAAATAATTCCACCAACTGGGGAGGGACCAAGCATTTAAACATTTGAGTCTGTGGGGGCCATTATTATTCAAACCACCACACTTACTATAATCATTTATTTTCTTTTTTTCTGTTTTTTTCCACTCCCACCCCCCACTCTTTGTTTTTGAGGCAGGTCTCACTTTGTAGCCCTGGCTGTCCTGGAGCTCTCCTGCTATGTAGACCAATTTGGCCTCAGACTCACAGAGATCAGCCTGCTTCTGTCTCCTGAGTGCTGGGATTAAAAACATGCACCACCACACCTGACTGTGATTATGTTATTTTTATTTATTTTTAAATTTTATATATTTATTTATTTAGTGTCTCTATATGTAGCCAGGCTGTCCTGGAACTCACTCTGTAGATCAGGCTAGGCTTGAACTCACAGAGATCCACCTGCCTCTGCCTCCTGAGTACTGGGAATGAAGGTATAATTATAGTTTTTAAAGTTTACATTTATTTATTTGTGTGCATGAGGGCATATGTATCAAGGTGTGCATGTGTGCATGTGGAGGTCAGAGGATAGCTTGTAAGGAGCTGCTTCTCTCCTGCCATGTGAGTCCTAGGGATGGAAGTCAGGTTGTCAGGCTTGATGACAGGCACCTTTACCCAATGAACTATTCACCTGTCCATGATTACATTTTATTTCCCATCTTCCAGTAAAATGTTGAACTCACAGAAATAGAACCTTTGCATTGTGCATTCCCTAGAGTAGTACCTGGCAGAGAATAGGTGCTTAAATGTTTGAGTTAATTTTAAATAACTTCTTTGGAGATAAATTTCTGAATATATATTGTGTATTCAGTGTAAAGACTTTCCTTGTAAAGACTTTCAGTGTAGCTTAATTACTGTACAGATTCACTGTATCGGTTTTCAACTGTGCCGTCGTTACATAAATATGTGGTGAATCTCTGCTCAAACTTCCCTTTGACTTACGTTAACTTTGCAATATATCCCAAGATCTTTTCTCTCATTTCTTTCCTTCTGGCTCTTCCTTGCTTGTTGTGGCCATGTCTTCAAGTCATGTTTATCATTTCTTTTATATATTTTCTTTTAGCAGACAGATCTGAGTTTAATTGTATATATGTATGTCAGTGAAACAAAAGCTTTACCTCTGGCTCTCTAGTCTCTTTGTTAAGGAGAGTATCTGTTCCAGCTTCTTATGTAATACTTCTACTAGCTGAATTTGATGTAGTAAGCATTGTATTTAAATTGTATATATTTCTAGAGGCAGAAATTCAAACTTGTCTCTGTTCCATTCCGCTTTTCTTTTGCGGGGGGGAAGAGACATGGTGTTTTGAGACAGGGTTTCTTTTGTATAGCTTTGGCTGTCCTGGAATTAGCTCTGTAGACCAGGCTGCCCTCAGACTCACAGAGATCCATTTGCCTTTGCCTTCCAAGTGCTGGGATTAAAGGTGTGTGTCACCACCTGGATCCTTTTCCTTTTTAAATTTAAATTCTATACATTTTTTTCTTTCTAGTTATTGTTGTCCATAGCTTGATTTATATGCATACCTAATTTGTGTTAACTTTATATAATTAGTTTATCAATCTAGTTATCACTTTAATGTTAAGTACTTGCTAAGTAAGTTAAGTGCTTGCTAAGTGGGTTAAGTCTTGTGAAGTGAAGATGAATTGGTAGAACTGCCCTTCCTTTCTCTGTTCTGTCTTCTGAGACAGTTTCACTGGGTAGCCCAGGCTGCTTTCCGAACTTGCTCAAATAATAGATATATGCTGTTTCTTTTTCTTCTCCTTTTCCTTCTTCACTTCTTTTTGTTGTTGTTTTCAAGTCTGAGTTTCTTATGTATCTCCCTGGCTGTCCTTGAACTCAGAGATCTGCTGAGTGCTGGGATTAAAGGTGTGTGTTCCACCACTGCCCTGTGTATTGTTTCTTTTTAATTAGAGAAATCGTTGAATGGTTGCTTTTCAGAGAGCAGGCTATAAAATAGTGCCGCCAGTAGTGAATTGAGTGCAAAGTTGGTTGGTAGTGTGCTGGGAATCAGTAGCATGGAGCTGTCTTTGTCTTGCCATTTGTTGTATTGATTTTCTGGAAGAGATGGGAACAGATAACGGCTCCAGTGACAACCAAAGACACCAGCCCAGCCAGTTTGCGTAGCAAGCCCCAGTGACTTTTGAGGTTGCTTACAGGAGCATGACTGATTTTAATGAGAAACAGCTGTGTCAGTAAGCGGCCCACTTGGCTGTGTCTTGGAGCTCCCTGTGCAACTTCAGGCTCAGCCACAGTTGCCTATTGCTTTTATAACTTTGGAGAGGGCTCTTGTGAATCTTAAGAGTCAAGAGCTTTCTGGGCCTAGTTTGTTTGTTTGTTGTTTTTTGAGACAGAGTATCACTTTGTAGCCCTGGCTGGCTTAAAACTCAATATGTAGACCAGGATGGCCTCATACTCTCACAGATCTCCCTGTTTCTGCACCGAGTCCTGGGATTAAAGATGTGTGCCACCATGCCTGGCTTGGGCCTGTTTTTAGAGTCCAGAGCCTTGTCAATTTTGTCTACTTCCTGGGTCTTAAGAGTTTGTAGGAGAAAATGTTTTAATTTGGAGAAAATCGTGAAACTGTTATTTAACACATTTTTTTGGTTTGGTTTATATAGTGAGAATATAACATTCTTTCTGTTACTATGATGAAATACCTGACAAAAAGCAATTTAAGGAAGGGTGTGTTTATTCTGCTTTTCAGTTCTATATTTCATCATAGACAAAAAGACATAGCAGGAACAGGAGCAAGCTAGTCACATTCCATCCACCCAGTCAGAAAGTAGAGAAGGATGAGTGTTCACACTCATCTGGTGCCCTAGTTTGCTTTCAGTTGTTCTGATAAACACCATTACCTGAAGCAACTTGAGGGAGAAAAGAATTTATTTGTTTTAAACTTCCAGGTCACAATCCATTGAAGGAAGTCAGGACAGGAATTCAAGTAGGAACTCAAGCAGAAACCATGTAGGAACTACAGCGCTAACTGACTGACTCTCGAGCTTGTTCACTGGCTCCTTCTGCTATTATCTACCTATTATGGAGTCATCAGAGTGGGCTGGGGCCTCCCCGTCAGTCAGTTTCATTTGGGCAGTTCATCAAGTAAGGCTTCCTCTTCGCAGACAGCTTTAGATTGTGTCTGGTTGACAATAAAAACTAGCATACTCGGCTTTACCCATTTTCTTCAGCCTGGTAGCTGCTATGGGTCTTCCTACTTAATTAACTTAATCTGAAAAACTCACAGAGCGGGGCAGTGGTGGCGCACACCTTTAATCCCAGCACTCGGGAGGCAGAGGCAGGTGGATCTCTGTGAGTTCAAGGCCAGCCTGGTCTACAGAGCGAGATCCGGGACAGGCTCCAAAACTACACAGAGAAACCCTGTCTCGAAAAACCAAACCAAACCAAACAAAAAGCATGCTCACAGATATTCCCAGTCTCTAAGCTGCTTCTAGATTCTGCCAAGCTGATGATTTAAACTGTTTGAGAATGCAAGTTCTCTTTGAACTCCTAGCAATCCTCCTACCTCAGCCTCTGGAGTGCTCAGATCACAGGTGCCTTAGTTACTTTTCTATTGCTGTGACAAAACACCATGACCAGGGCAACTTAGAGAAGAAAGCATTTAATTGGCTTATGATTTCAGAGGGTTAGTTTTTGATGGTGGTGTGAGGGCACAGAGGTGGGCAGCTGGAGTAGCAGCTTAGAAGCTCATACCTTGATCTACAAACATGAGACAGAGGGCACGTTGGGAATGGCAGGACTCTTTCTTTTGAAACCTCATACCCTACCTCCAGTGACATCTTCTCCACAAGGCCACACCTTTTCATCCTTCCCAAACAGTTCCACCAACTGGAGACCAAGCATTCAGACACATGAGTCTGTGGGTGCCATTGAAACTGCCACAGCTGGCTACCATTTAACATGATATTGTTAGTCTTTAGAATTCTATATCCAAGCTAGCTGTGTGTGTGTGTGTGTGTGTGTGTGTGTGTGTATTGTCCAGAGGATTGAATCTAGGGCATGTTCTTACTGAGTACAGGTTGGTCTTGAACATGCTTTGTAACCCAGGCAGGCCTTTAACTTAGAATCTTCTTGCCTCAGCCTCCCAGTTGAGACTACAGGCCTTTGGCCACCACACTGGCTTCCCAAACCAGCCCTTTTTCATGGCTTCTGTTTTGATACAGGGCCTTACTGTGTGGCTCAGATTGGTGCCTAATCTTTTTTATTCTGGTAGTGGTTGGTGATGAAACTTTATTGTGCATAACATCATTAGACTCAGGGTAATAATACTTGTAGGTCTTTGGAAAATAAAAGTGGTTTGCCTCAGAGTTCCTTCTCCTTGAACTTTTGTATAAAGTATTTGGGATGGAAAGGTTAAGCATTGTTTTCTTAATCTCTTTCAGCATTTGCTCTTGCAGAATTAATTGACAATTCATTGTCAGCTACTGCTCGTAATGATGGTGTAAGGAGAATACAGATCAAATTGGTAAGAAAATCATGCATAAAGAAATGTAAATTTTTTAGTAGTACATTGGAAAAATTAGAAATAAAGAAAAACTAGAAATAGTTAACTGATGTCTTGTTACTAATTTTTATAGTTTCTTTTATATATGTATGTGCTTATTCACATATCTCTTATTTATACATCTCTTTCTGTACTTAAGTTTTATAATTTCTTTTTTTAACAATGCAATTGTAAACAGGACATGAATATTTTATGATATTAATGCAGAGGGTTTTGTTAGCTACAGTGTAAGTTCTAGAGTCCATCGTTTTAAACAGATTTTTTTCCTCTCCTGTATTTTTGCCATGAGAAGCAATGTGGGAATAGTGTATATTTATGTATGCCTTGATTATTTCCTTAAGTTAAATTCTGAGAAATGGTATTCCTAGGTTAAAAAACATTAAGAATTTTAAGGTTTTTGATAGGTATAATTCAGTGCCTTTAAGAAAGTTGTATTTGTTTATATTTATGCCAGTGAAATGAGTAAGCGTATTGAATTTCATACTTCATGTTTTAAGTATTAATTGGCGTTTTCCTGACTCTTTATTTTGTAGCTTTTTGATGAAACACAAGGAAAACCTGCTGTCGCAGTGGTAGATAATGGAAGAGGAATGACCTCTAAACAGCTTAACAACTGGGCTGTGTATAGGTTGTCAAAATTTACAAGACAAGGTGACTTTGAAAGGTTAGCAAAATCATGTTTTTTTCCTATTTTTAGTGATACCTGTAAAAGTAAGAACTTCAGTGTGAGAGATATACCTATCTATCATTCATCTATCTGTCTGTCATCTTTATATCTATCATCCATCCATCCATCCACCCACCCACCCACCTACATAGATTCTAGTGTAAATCGATAAATCTATTTAAGAAGTATTAGGGAAATTTATTAAGGTATATTGAGGAAATACAGTCATGAATACAGAACAGAGCAGACAGCTGAAGTTGTCCTCTGATCTGACTGAGAGTGAATCCACCTTGCAGGCAGGAGCAGGGAGAAGGGGCATGTGACCCTTCTCCCTCTCCTTCTAAGAGGTCAAGTATAATAGCAGGAAGCACCACCTCCTTTGTGCCCTATAGCCCAAGGTCATGGGTGGAGCAAATACCACCATATTTCCCCTTTTTATCTAAATAAGAAAGTTCTAAACTTAATGCAAACTATATACAGTAAGAATGATTATCAAGTATTGTCCAGGAAAAACAAAGAGTAATAACATAAAAATAGAACTACAACCAACAAGAATAGCATCAAACAAGAAAGACATGCTAAGTGTCCAGAAATGTCCAGAATATAGGTAAATGGCAAATTACCAAGATTACTCCAATAGCTGTCCTATCTTGAAGATTCTAATTATATATTTATTATATATTATAGTATTAATATGCTCTAGCTAAGATACAAGAAGATTGTAACTGTAACTATCTCGTCTTCAACTCAATCAAAGACCTGAGAAGGAACATAATAATACCTAAGAAAATGGAAAATGCAGGCAAGCAATTTCTGAAATTCTTGTGAGAATAGACAATGACAGCTGGCAGCCTGGACACTCGCCTAAAGTTTCTCAGCATCATTGGGGCATCCAATTTGGCAACAGGCCTAGAATGTCTGACAGACCATTTTCAGAAGCACGGATTTTGAAAGACCATCTTACCCTGTCTTGGCAGAGTTCAGTAGTTGCTTTTCCTTGTGTCCTGCTTGTCTGGAAAGGACAGTGTCCATATTGGCAGCAGTCGAGGCAAGGGCAGTTCTTTGCCCAGTAGGCCAATTTGTGCCAAGAAGACAAACTTCCAAACAGAAATGTGTTAGAAGCCCAACATCTTCTTGGGATCAGATAGATGGGTGCTGCCAGGAGCAATCATGTCTCAGTCAACAGAATTCTAAGTTATAGAGAGATTCTTCCAGACTGCTGGGCAAGGCAGGGCTAGAGAAATTTCCGTAGTGTTTTATTTAGATTTTTTT